CAAGCATGGAGCATATAAATATTAATTTTCTAAATTTTTTAGGGGCCCCATGGGCCATATAGAATGGCTTGGCAGGCCAGATGCATCCCACAAGCTGTATTTTGCCCACCCCTGGCATATTCTGACAGAAAATGGTTCTATTGAAGTTTCTCCCAACCAGCACCAGTCAGGACCAAAACTAAAATCCAAGGATTGCTGCGACCCAATCCTCTCCAAAGTGCTAGGCCACATCTCTTTATGTGTCAATTCCTTTCACTGCCAGATTTGCAGTCATTACCTCATTGTCCTGTTTCTTTATCACACAATTGGAGAGCAATACTTGTATATTTCTAACCTTTCTTTGTTCTTTCCTCCCTTCTTCCCCCTTTCTTTTCCTTCTCCAGGAACCTTCTGCATTATTTCACTGTGCACGTGTGTGGCTGGAATCAACTTTGAGCTGTCCCGCTACCCCCGCTACCTGTATGGACTTCCTGACGACATCAGCCATGGCTATGGCTGGTCAATGTTCTGTGCTTGGGGAGGCCTGGGCCTCACTCTTATCTCTGGCTTCTTCTGCACCCTGGCCCCTTCTGTCCAACCTGTCCCCAGGACCAACTGCCCCAAATCCAGACCGGAGAATGGGACAGTGTGCTAAAACATAAATAATATACAACTATATATATATATGTATACATATACATACATATATATATATAAAATTATATATATCTCAAACTGATGCCAGTGCCAAGGTAGAGCTGAGTCCAACATGGCACCTGCATCTCCACAGGACTGTGTGTTGCTTCATTCTTTCTTACAGAGATGGGAAAGCTTTTTCTGTAACATGGCTCTTCCATCCAGTTCTTAACTTCAGCATCATAATTTAGCGGTCAAGTGAACATACTGTTGCATCTATCTACTGCCACTGGGGGAGGGGAAAAGAGGGTAGTATGGGAGATCCGAAGCTTGAAACTGTTCTGGACATGGGGAACAACCAAAAACTGTCAATCTCAAACAGAAAGGAAAATGCAAACAACGAGCAAAGCGACAAATCAAACATCTGAGTCACCTCTAGAATGTAACCTCCTCAGGGCCATTGTCAACTCCCCCTCCCCTTTTTTTTTAAGAGAAAAACCTTTTCCCCATCATTGTTTTTCTTTCTGCCTAAAACACAGAGGACAAAATGGACAGAATGCGGGGGAAAAAATAGCGTTTTCTTTTTGCCTGCCAAACTTAGGACAAAACAAAAAATCTAACGAAACAAAAATCAAAACAACAACGACAACAAATATGAGGACACTTCAGCGGATGCTCCAACAGTGCTGTTTTAATCTTCCAGCTGCCTTACATCCAGGCTTAACACAGAGGCTGAACTGCTAAGGTAGAAGCAGTAGGAGGCCTTTTGAAAATGCTGTGATACATGTGTGTATATCTCTTTTTTCCCTTTTTTTTAAAGAAAAATTTAAAACATTACAATGTGATTGTCCTATAAACCATCCATACTGTGTTTGTGGCCCAAGACTGAGGCACTGCAGCTACAGAAGTGCAAGGGAAGGCACCAGTTCTGAGACGGCAAGTCTCCTTTACTGGATTTGTGCAGTGTTTGTATTTTAATGGATCATCGGAAAATTTGGGATTCTGGATCAAAGGGATGACCCATTGGGGGAAGGGAGGTGGGGAGCTCTTGTGGTTGCTTTTCCTGGGTATTTATTTGACCGTGATTTGTTTTAGTTTCCATTTTGGATATTAAAGACAACTGGGCAAAAGCCATTGTGGAGGAGAAAAGGGGAACAAGTCTCTGTAAGGGGGAAGGCACCTCTTGTTGTGTCCATGTATGCCAAATAAGACCTTCCCACATCTTGTCATTGGAAACTGCCCTGTTTCACCGGACATCTCCTATTTCCATTTGGGAGAACGATCTATACAGATGGAAGAGAATGGGTCAGATGCAGTGAATGAAAATCCATTTCCCATGAGCTCAAGTCTTGTACGATATAGTTGTGAATCCACAATTGGAACGCTTTCTCTCTCTTTCTCTCTCTCTCTCTCTCTTTTGTCTTTCTCCTGATCCTCCTTTCCTCACCACACCTCTTTCTACTCTGCCTTTCCCATTGTGCAGGTCATAGATCCCAGAACAGTTAATTTAACAGATAAAAACAGTCAGTGAAGGCATGTCAGCTAGGGAAGCAAAGATACCACCTCTCACTGCAGCAGGTCTTAACACGGGAAGCGTAGCTCAGAGGAAGGCATTGGCAGAAATAGCAATGGAGTAACTGAGGGGGGTCTCAAGAGGTTCTTATTGAATGAGCACCTGAAGAAGTGTAGATATTTTTTCTCATGCAACTGACAGTTGTGTAGGAAGAAGAGAAAATGGGGGGAAAAATAACCCTGTTGCTAATTAAGGGATAGTTTTTGCTTCCTCTCTTTCATATAGTAGTTCACACACCACTATTCCTCCCTAGTCAATAGAAAACATCCAGGGCATCTAAACAGAAACAAATGGGAGAAGGAGTCAATTGGAAAGCGTTGACATCCAGATCCTACAACGTTGAGAAGAAACAGTATTTTATCCAGTTAAAAAAAATCCTTCTCCTACAGTGCAATGAGGGGGACTATCAATCATTTCCCCAAGCCCTCTCTGCTTTCCCTTTCTGCTAGGCAATTTCATGTTGTTGTTGAATATTAATCTGGCCCAAAGAAATGAAGACTCTTGGGGGCATCTGAAAGTAGGATTGCTTTGTTTATCTTTGATTCTTGCTCAGTGGCTTGCTTTGGGTTGGTTTTTTGGTTGGTTTTTTTTTGGTTTTTTTTGCGGGAGGTGGGTTGGTTTGGTTTGGTCTTGACATATTATACAAGCAAGCTAATGCCAGCTGCCACATGAGTGTGTTCACACTCAAATGCCACTTTGCGTAGGTGAGCTTTTGTTAATTTCACTCTCCACTGGGCTGGGGGAAACATATATTTAAAAAAACCTGCAAGCATTTTGAAGAGGGTTTTGTTTTAAGCAAGCCAGTTGCTCTCTTTCTTTTTAATTCTCACTAGTTTTTTCAACTAAAATGTTTTTGAGAACAAAGTTGATCAATTTTTACCATCAGTTTCTATCATATGGCTCAGCTGGCTAATTAAAACTGGTTCAGGGGATGGGGAAATAAAAATAAGGAAAAAAATGGGAAACAAACAATAATTGAAAGTCCCAAACCAATGCATGAAAACCAAAATTCATCATTAAAAATAAAAATATAATTATAATGCGAAGCTTTTTTTGGAAATTTTCCAATTTTCAAAAACGGGTCATGTTCATTAAAATACGCTTGAAGAAAACTTTCATTCACCTGTATTTGTGGGACCGTGGTAGCAAAGGTCTTGGATACAAGTATTTACACTGAGTAGGCATAGGGGAGGAACAGACGGGCCTAGTCTAGTTCACTACCAGTTCTCGTGGCCCAGAAAACAACATGAAAGCATGGCAAAGGTGACACACAGTGTGATCCGTGGCAGCTCGCATGGGCAGATGTATTTTCAAAATAGAGATATCGGCAAGATTTAAAGAGGCAGAAGTTGATTCTGCTGTTCTGTATACTCCAGACTCTTTTCTTTCTTTCTGCTGTAGGGACAGAAATAGTCCTGCCTTAACATGGTTTACTTTAAGCTTTCATTTTACAAAGTGTATATGAACCTGTGTGTATCTTTGTGTGTGAGTAGGACACCCAGATTTCTTTACATAAGAGGAGAAATGTTAACTCTGGATCTTTGGCTCACTTCTCTGGCTAACTAGCCAGGACCCTCCAAGCCCTGTTCTCAGTTGGGTAACCCAGGTTGCCAGCCAGTATGGCAGGGAGCCACTGAAGGGATTCCCCAGCCAGTATGGCAGGGAGCCACTGAAGGGACAGGTGAATATTTATTGCTCATTGCTTAATTTCTATGGAATGTCAAATTTTGGCTCACCAAGGGAGGCATTTGCCTAAAGGCCAGTTCTTTACCCACCTTCCCAAAGTCAGGACAGGATCCTTAGGGAGTACTCAGAGTTCCACTGAGAGCCCAGCATAGAGTGGAAGGAATCTAATATGCACAATTAGGGATCAAAACCTTTGCTACACTCTCTGTTTGCTCAAACTAGAGCTCTGAATTCCAACTCATGTGGTCTTTGGTCAAGATCCAAACCTGAAGCCAGATCTAAATGCTATGATTAGTCTCCAGTTCTGCTGTGAGCCAAAGAAAAACCCCAGATCTGAAGTTTAGGAAGACTTTGAAATCTAATCCTGAACCTACATCCAGATTTTGTGACTCAGGCATAATTAGTATCTAGTTTGAGAAGTAATTCTGAATGGGCTGACTTGACAGTGATCCTAGTGTTAAGGAACTGGGGCTTGATTCTAACTAATGCTGAGCTCTTGTACCTGATCTAGCAAAGCCCTTAAGCATGTGCATGTCCTGAAGCATGTGAGTAATTATATTGACTTCAGTAGAACTACTCAGAGCTTAAAGTAAGCATGTGTTTGAGTTCTTTGCTGGATAGTATTCAGCACCTTGCTGGATTGAGCCCCTGTTCCTCTTGCCCCTCTCCCCACATAGCTCATGTGATGAACTTGTCTTAGGCTGATGTATTAATGGGTGTTTGGATTCCCTTTCTGGAAGCTTGATAATGTTGAGGTCCAGTATTTGCCAGACCCTCTCACACATTGCCTTTCATGGATCATTTCTAAGACAGCAAACCTATGTTCCAGGGAGTTGCAAAAGAACCTGCTCACAGAGAATGCAAATATCATGATACTCCAGTCATAGTGAAGTAGAATGAATTGTGTCAATTCCAATGAATTATTTTGTTGCACTGCAATGTGCAAACTGCAGTTTAGCTATAGTGAATCTCCAATTACTGTATAGTGAAGTTGTTCTGTGAATTCAGTGAGTTAACTAAGAGATGGTTCTCCTGTCCATGTGTACCAGGGGCAGTGTATATGTGACTGTACTACATGGCAAAATTCCATGTACTCTGTATCCTATGTACTGTATATGCCACTTTCTTAAAGCTAAAGCTGTTTGAGTGTCAAAATACCTAACTCATACCAGCCCACCTGTATATACCATCTGTCCCCTCTCTACAACCACAGAACGGATCTACCCTGATCAGATTAGTCCTGTTGCTCAATGAATATTTTTAAGCATTTCTTCAAGGCACAGTTTTTGATGTCCCAGTTCTCAGTTGCTGTTCACAGTCCCCACAGGTGAAAAGAGCTAGCTTTTGACAAGCTGCTTTGGATTGACAAAATGATTCCATCTAGTCTGAAAGAACAAAAACAAAATCCTCTGACTGGATGTTTCTTACCCTTTCAGCAGAGAATCATTAAAAAGCGTAAATGTTTTCCTGCCTCGCTCTGGGTACAATGTAGTCAGGACTTGTTAGCTGATTTGTACATCAAGTGATGTACCACTTGCTGAAGAAGAGTGTTGGTGGACAGGGGAAATCCTATATGCCCCAGGCATCACTGAATGACTCTATATCACTGTCCCATGGTCCCTGCTGCAGCACCTCTGATCCTGGCTTGTCCCTGGAGCTCCACCAGTAAAGTAGTTTAGGAGAAAATTGCTATAATCTGTCCTTAATTAAGTGCCAAACTAAGTGCCAAGAGTGAAATGGAGAGGAAATAACAACTGTAGAGTCTAAACAAAGACATATATTATTTGAGCTCTTTCTTCCATGTTCATCCACAGAAGGCCTCAAGGGGCAAAGACACACACACAGAAACTAGCCCAGTGTCCCAGTGTTAGATCTTCTGCTCCCCAAATTTAAGACTCCTTCATGTCCCAGGCAGCTTGCAGGCAGAAAAGTGCTTATCCAAGCAGCAGAGGAAGTCTTGAGGTGAAAAATTGAGACAGCTCTGGAAGGTTGCCAGATAGCACTGGAAGCCAGGGAGTTGAAAATGTGTATGAAGCACAAACAGCCTGTAAAAGCTAGGGACGGATTCATCTCCAAAGGTGAAGAGTTTAGTCTGAAACAAGGAAATTAAAGTTTGATTGCAAACTCTGAACTATCAGACCTTTTGGCTTTGTTGAACTGAGCAGGAAAGCTGATGAGAACAAGCCTTGGGTCAAAACTTACAGCGCTGCTACTTTCAGTCCCAGCCAGAAAGATCCAAGAGCCTGATCCAAATGTCACTGACAGCAGTGGAAAGTTTCTCATTGACTTCAGCAAGGTTTGCATCAGGTCCTGTGAAATCGATTTTTTCAGAGATTATTTCAGTATATTCCTAGACAGTATTGAAAGTGAAAATGCATGTCCACACTTTTCTGTGTATACATTTGTTTCCAGAAAGAGGTAGTGGTTCTGACCAGGTATTTTTATTCTTTTTTTTTATTCATTGTGTTCATCCCCAATATACACAAAGGCATCATAATATAATTCCTGTCTTAGTCATAACTCTACTGGCACAACAATAATAGAACAAAGAATCCTCTTCCACTGATACTGGTCAACAGCAAAATTCTTCTTGACATAAATAGGATACAGGATGCAACTTAATATAGTATTTTATAATCATAATTCAAATAGCCACCCAGGCACCTAGAATTAATTTAAAGAAAAAGGTTAGGTGACGGCCTGGGTAAAATCTAGTGGAAAGCAGGGTTGATTTGCACCCTAACAGACTAACTAAATCAGAGATGTACAGCATAAGCTTTTGGAAGCAGGCTTTCCTAAGCAGGCTTACTCCAGAGGCTGTGAAGGGACTGCAGTATGCAAAGCTGCTAAATAGAAAGCAGTGATTAGAACACAAATGGTAGGGAAATGGGGAGGAAAAAGGAGGTGGGCACTGCTGTGAGAGGCAAGGTGGGTAGGAGAGAGAAAAACAAAGCAGTCAACCCACTGAGGGGTTATAAAAACTAAGCCAGGTAATGAGTCGCAAATCTGTATTCTTAATTTAGACCATACTTAACACAATCTAATCTGTGGATGATTTCTTGTTCCACAAGTTCTTGTTCAAGTTCATTTAAAATCTACCATACATTAAACCGCCCCTAAATCACTGCAGAATTGAGCACAGGTGCCTGCCTTGGTCAGGAGGAACCCTGGGTGGAAACAACTGGGGAAGCTGTAGATTGTCTCCTCAAGTCAGACACGGTTGTTGCAGATCAGAACTGATGAGCATTGACAGAGTTGTGTGGAAAACTGTTCTATTATATCTGCCAGTAGCTTGTGTTATTAGTCTCTTTCTCTCAGGAGCAGCAATATTTTGTTTTCTAGTAAGACAGCACTGCAGAGTGGTAGGAAATAACTTTGTTTCCATGTGGAGTTCATGTGTAGACCCACATACACACACAATATTTATGCCCATATGTTGTAGATATATACCTACAACCTGGCGTATGTACTGTATATAGGGAAAATACATGGCAGGATAAAGCATAATCTTGTTTTTCTATCTTTTTATACTTAACTCTGGAGTTGCAAAGCAATTAAATTCCATATTTCTGTGTTGTATACCACATTCACACTTGCTATTGATATGCAGTGCTGAAGAATAGTGGGGAAGCACAGTGGAACTGGGATGATTTGTGAATTTGCACTCTAGGGTATTTGGCTACTAAAGGGTCACCAGTGTAGTCTTTATCCCTTGTAACCTAAACTCAGAGACAGGATGCCTCCGTGTCTTTCTTCTGTGTCCACTCAGTCCTGAACTGTGGATACTATACCTAAAAAAATTCTGACTTGCTCACAAATCCTGTTTACCACCCAGAACCACAGACACCAATGTATACTGTTCATGGCAATGAAAGAAGTTACTTAGGGCCCCTCTACACATTACATTTATGCCATGATTAATGTGTTAATCATAGCATAAATGCACCCAATTTAAGGCACCAGGCAATGGCAAATCAGCCATAAAAATGTTCCACATATAATGTAGAACATTCTTATGGCTGGTTTTTATGGTACCTTAAATTGAATGTATGGCATATCTGGGGGCCAATGCTTGAACCAGCCCCATTGCAGGTACCTGAGTGTAAGCTTGCCAGGCAGGGAGAGCCAGCAAGTAGAAATGCATGATTGGGATGAGATCCTTGATCCAAAAATTTTGGCTTCTGCCGTGTACATGTGGCATGGCAGGAGAGTGATTGTCTGGATCAAGGATCAGATCCCACGGTGCCTTTAAATGAAAGTGTGCCAGGGGCCTACTCAGTGAGGTGAGTAGGAAGACGGTATTATAAAGAAGAGTAAAGGCCTATCAGAATGATAGTCTCGGTATTCACAGACTCTCACAGAACTCCCATGTCAGCTGTTCCTGATGTAAGAGAGGGTTCGCTAGAACTTAAAGGCAGGAGGCCAGTTTGATTTAGAAGGAAAATTCTCTCCATGTCAACTCCAAATCTGAAAAGTTTGTGATTTCCTTATGTGAAAATCACGCCTGTGTAGAAGGGAAGCAGGCCTATACATCACCCAAGTCTAACTTCAGGCCCTAAAGTATGCCTTCAGTGATGGCTAGGCCTAGACCATATGTCTTTCAGCACAGGAAGGCGTTTCACATGTTGAGGGCACTGAGCAGCAACAAGATATGATAGCAAATTTCGCCTGGCATTGAAAAACCTTTTAATATAAGCTTGGTGATGAGGTATTTCCTTTAAGATGACTGTGTTATATTTCCACCAACTCAGAAATTCTCAGCCAAAGATGATGAGTCTACAGTATGTCAAGAAAGGGCAAAAACTTCAAAAGCATGTTAGCAACTTAGTTCCATTTTCAAAAGAAACTTCGGCACTTTGGAACCTGAGTCACAATGAGTTTTAGGCTCCTGAGTGCCTAAATTATTTTTGAAAATATCACTTAGACTCCTAAAGCACTTACCCACTTTTGAAATTTTTACCCAAGGAGTCTATTTTTGTCATACAGATATATGGCTCTGGTTTTATCAAGGGATTTTTATTAACAATATACAATATAAAGGAAAAGTTCAAGTAATCAGAACCACAGAATAGAAGCGCAGCCTTAGACTCTTTAGGTTGGTGAACTGAATTATTTATAACTTTTGGGCACCAACAACAATCAGACATCTAATTTAAACTGTTCCTATTTTTACTCAGCAATTTCCATTACTTAAGTGTCTTTCTTCATATGTTTGTTGTTTGATCTTCTCCATTTTTTTCTCTAGTTCTGATACAGAATATCAAATTTGGGGACTTTTGAAGACATTTTGCTGCAGTAACTTGAATTATTTTCTAAGACTTTGAGGTCCAAGTGGGACATACATTGTAAAATTCAAAGCTGTAAAACCTCCCTAAAATGCACTTAAACATTCAGTCCTTTCTCAGGTAAAAATCCCACTTATTTTAAATTGATGGGACTTTTGTCTCATTCAGGACTGTAGGATCAGGGCCTATTTATGTGAGTATGTGATGGGCAGATGAGGGATAGAGGATTTGTGTCTGGGCCACTTTATATATTGAGTGCCCAGATATAGAGACCACCACTGGGTTACACCAGCTTTATGCCAGTGTAACTCCATAGAAATCAATCAAGTTATACCTGGAGATCAGTCAGGTCATAATTGGAAAAACATAGTAGTAAATCAGGCCCTAAAACAGATACACGTGTACATATGTACATATATGTATATATATGTAAATTTAAGAACAATGTCCATAGATTCATGATTGCCTGGAATAAATACCCTTTGATTGATAATGTACAGAATTTCAGGCAGAGGCCTGCACCTATGTGGCAATCCTTACACATCTCAGATGTAAGCAAAGCACATTAGAAAATTGGTTGCGTGTTGGGGTCCTGATTCCTCAGTTGCCTCTCCTTGGACAGAAAACCACAGTGAAATCAATACATTGCATGTGGGTCTGCCAGCACAGGTCCAGTCGCAGGTCTGGGTTCTGAGAGCTTGACTATATGGGGAAATACCCCCCAAAAAACCTACAAAATATCTTCTTGTGGATACATTTATTTTGAACTAAGAAGCAATTTGTGTGGACACGCTTATTTCACACTATGAGTGCCTTTTGTGGTTCAGCTTAATCTACTCTCCATGGATTAGCCTGAAATGTAGAAAGGGATGCTGAGTGCAAAATAAGAGTGTCCACAGGGAAGCTAGCATGGAATTACCCTTCAAATACAAACCCTCCCTTATTGTATAACAGCTCTCTGGTCTAGACAAACCCAAATTCTGTGGACATGTAAAGCTCACCACCCTAAAATGCAAGCTATTTATTAAGGAGCGAGTGTGCTCGCCCTGCCATTTCTAAGTTTGGAGGAGTTAAGATCTTGAGGTTTGGTTTAGTCCGGTCTGTATGGGTACTGCCACCAGATTTCTGTTCCCACCCTGAAACACTGCAGAACCTGTACTAGGGAACAAGCATGTGCCTCTTATTAGCATGTGCCTCTTATTAGCTAAGCCACTCAATTGCTACCTCTTGCTCCATCCATGAATTCAAAAAAGCATTAAGCAAAACAATTTAAAACCTCTTACTAAAAGGCATATTTCTGGTAGCTAAATACTTCTTTTTAATTCTTATTATATGATATTGCAAAGAGAATCAGGATTTGTTTGGGAATACCTTTTATTGGACCAACTATACAGTTGGGAGAGAAACAGCTCAGACAGGCTATTGTGAGTAGCCAGTTGTTTGAGACCTCTCATTGATGTGTGCTGGGTGAGTTATCCACATAAAAATGAAACGTAAGACTTAACAGGAGAACAGACCACACATTATTCAGGCAATTATTTCGACAGCTCTGCAGTCCCACTGAAGATGGGCTCCAGCTCAAATGCTTGACAGCACCACATGGTAATAAAGCCAGTCAAGGAAAGGCATTGACCACTGACAGACAAGGAGGCCAACAGTTCACTTCAGCGCATCAGCTTGTGCGATCTTGCATGTTTCAGTAACTATATCTGAATAAAGCCAACTTATGAGGCAGGTTGGGAGAACTAAACCAGCTCCTGAAAACTCCTGGACAAGGTTAACATCGGCTGAAGAAGCACTGCATGGTCACTGCTTTTTATACATCTACTGTTCATTCAGTGACATGGCAATATTTACACCTCCTCCCAACATAACCATTGAAGCATTTGAAGGTACTTGTTAAAACAGGGATGGAGGAACTTAGCTTGGTTGTAATCTCTCTGTATCATAATAGCTCAAAGATGCTATAGCATTCCTTGGGGAGAGACTGGTGTTGGTAAGTGGCAGCTAAAGCTATGAGGTCCA